GCACGATGCATAGTCCGGTACTCCAAAGCTTATATGGTCCACGAGGGTGAGTTGTACAAGAAAAGCACTATCGGAGTTCTACAAAGATGCATATTTAAAGAAAGGGGCAACAACTTTTGGTCGAGATACACGCTGGCACGGGCGGCCACCACGCTGCAGCTCGGTCCCTCGTAAGCAAGGCCTTCCCAGCAGGGTTTTTCTGGCCCATTGCTCGCGTGAACGCCCATACTCTAGTCCAACATTGTGTTGGATGCCAGCTTTTTGCAAATCAAGGCCATATGCCCCCACGGAACTCCGGACCATACCAATCACCTGGCCTTTCACAGTCTTGGGGTTGGACATGGTCGGACCACTTAAAGGGGGAACCAAGAAAAAGAAATACTTACTGGTCATGGTTGAAAAATTCACTAAATGGATCGAAGCAAAACCAGTAACCTCAGCACAGTCCAGACCAACCATTGACTTCATATCCGACGTGGTACGCCGTTATGGTGTCCCTCACGGTATAATCACAGATAATGGATCCAATTTTACTCACTACAAGAAATATGTCAACTAGTGACCTTCTGTCAGTGACCCTGGAAGAATTGGTCATAGATCTATGACCATTTCAGACCAATTGGTCAAAGGCTGTTCAGGGGGCTCCAAACCCTAATCTATAACGACCATTTTGGTCAGAAAGGTCGTAATTTCCTTACACAAAATGGTCATAAAGCAGATAGCACTGGTCCGCTGCCTTATTTCTAGATGATCATGACCAATATAGATACTCATAACCTTGTAAATTGTGGTGGGTTTCTATGACTAGGCGCCACCTCATCAGTTTTGCCTATGTGTCATGTCCATGTGGCAGTTTTTGCCCTAGGTTGTGAAGCAACCTATATTTCTGTCATTCCCAAAATTCCCAAAAAAATCTCATAAATACTTTGGGTCATATCTTCGTCAAATATGTAAAAAACCTTCCTTGCCTAGTTCAAAAATATTCATTTTCCTATTTTGTTTAGAAAAACACTTTGTGAAGGAAGTACCACTTTGGCAAGTCCAAATGGTATCCATTTTCTACAGTGTTTTCCTATGCCCAAATAACCATCCTCCACCAAATGCCAGCTCAATCCATTCATTATTTTGAGCCCAACTTCAACATTCGTATTTATGTCCAGTGTGGTACTTTGCAAAGCAAGTACCACCTAGGCTCCTCCTTTTGAGCTGGAAATTTATGAAGACGGTCTTCTTAGTAACTGATCATCCTCATCCAAAACTCACACCATTAGCCATGTGCATTTCCCATACCGCTAATCAAACACTTGGCTGCTTATTCATGTTTGAGAATCGATCGATCTCCTCGTGAGAATATTATGTTGTGATTTTCCTCCTAGCATCTACCTGGGGAGTGCCCAACCCACTAGACATGCCTAAGCCGCCCATAACACATGCCAACGCCACGGTCACGCGGAGACCATGCGGCGGGCATGCGAGTTTACGCGCTCTAGAGTTGGGGCCCTCGGCCACCATCCGAACCTCGACATATCGCCACCAAACCATGTATTTAAGATTAAATAGGTACTTATGTAACTAGAAATGATTTTTGGAAAAAGAAATAGCAAACTATGAGGTAGGTGCAGTTCAAATTTGACCCGCTTCCTGCTGAATCGGCGGGAATTTGTCTTTTTCACTAGAGGTGGATCAAAAAATTTGACACCCAAACATTTTGTCAATTGTGCATTAAATATGGCCTAGTATTTTAGAAAATTGATTTTGTCCAATTTTGCAATAAATATATGGTAGGTCCTTCAGAAAAAAACTCATTTCATGCACTCAGAAAATGGAAAATGAATTTTCCGTGCAAAGAAAATGAAAACTTCCTTAGGCAACATTGTTTGGAATTCCAAGATGCACCCTTGTGCACAATATGAGATCATTTGAACAAACTATGCCATGAATGTGGCCATAAGATTGATCATTTGACTTGAAAGCCATGAATCTTCACGCATGATAGCTCATTTTTAGAAACTTTTTAAAATAATTTCCGTATTACAAGTTTATTATTTTCCTAGAAACTTGGTCACATATAATGACACAATGCGAAGGTTTTCCAATTTTTTGATTTTTTTGAGTTTTTATGCCCGTTTCAAAATGCGGTCAAAACGGCGGGCTTGACCGTTCCTAGCTACTGGTTAAATCTTGGAAAACTTTTGATGTTTCTCTAATTAAATAGATACTTATGTACCTAGAAATGATTTTTGGAAAAAAATAAAGATCAAACTATGAGGCAGCTGCAGTTAAAATTTGACCCGCTTCCTACTGAATCCGTAGGAATTTGTCTTCTTCATCAGAGGTGGATCAAAACTTTTGACACCCAACAATTTTTTCAATTGTGCATTAAATATTGCCTAGTATTTTCGAAAATTTATTTGATACAATTTTGCAACAAATATATGGTAGGTCCTTCACAAAAAATTCATTTTGGGCACTCGAAAAAATGGAAAATGAATTTTTTGTCCAAAGAAAATGAAAACTTCCTTAGGCAACATTGTTTGCCATTACAAGATGCACCCTTGTGCACAATATGAGATCATTTGAACAAACTATGTCATGAAAATGTGGGCATAAGATTGAGCATTTGGGTTGAAAGCCATGCATCTTCACACTTGATAGCTCGTTTCTGTGAACACTTTTTTAAAATAATCATTGTATTACAAGTTTATAATTTTTGCTAGTAGCTTGGTCACATATAATGATGTAATGAGAAGGTTTTCCAGTTTTTTTATTTTTTTTTGAATTTTTTATGCCCGTTTCAAAATGCAGTCAAAACGGCGGGAATGACCGTTCCTAGCTAGTGGTTGAATCTTGGAATTTTTTGGTGTTTCTCTGATTAAATAGATACTTTTGTACCTATGAATGTTTTTTAGAAAAAATAAAGAGCAAACTACGAGGCAGCTACAGTTCAAATTTGACTCGCTTCCTACTAAATTGGCAGAAATTTGTCTTTTTCATGAGAGGTGGATCAAAACTTTTGACACTCAACCATTTGGTCAATTGTGCATTAAATATGTCCTAGTGTTTTAGAAAATTGATTTGGTACAATTTTGCAACTAATATATGGTAGGTCCTTCACAAAAAAACTCATTTTGGGCACTCAAAAAAATGAAAAATGAATTTTTCGTCCAATGAAAATGAAAACTTCCTTAGGTAACATTGTTTGCCATTCCAAGATGCACCCTTGTGCACAATATGAGATCATTTGAACAAACTATGTCATGAATGTGGGCATAAGATTGAGCATTTGGGTTGAAAGCCATGCATCTTCACACTTGATAGCTCGTTTCTGTGAACACTTTTTAAAAATAATCACCGTATTACAGGTTTATAATTTTTGCTGGTAACTTGGTCACATATAATGACGTAATGCGAAGGTTTTCCAATTTTTTGATTTTTTTTGAATTTTTTATGCTCGTTTCAAAATGCGGTCAAAACGGTGGGAATGACCGTTCCTAGCTAGTGGTTGAATCTTCGAATTTTTTGGCGTTTCTCTGATTAAATAGATACTTTTATACCTAGAAATGACTTTTGGAAAAAATAAAGAGTAAACTATGAGGCAGCTGTAGTTCAAATTTGACCCGCTTCCTGCTGAATCGACGAAGATTTCTCTTTTTCACCTGAGGTGGATCAAATTTTTTGAGACCCAACCATTTGGTCAATTGTGCATTAAATATGGCCTAGTTTTTTATAAAAATGATATGGTCCCATTTTGCAACAAATATATGATAGGTCCTTCATAAAAAAACTCATTTTGGGTACTCAAAAAATGGAAAATTGATTTTTCATCCAAAGAAAATGAAAAATTCCTTAGGAAATGTTGTTTGTCATTCCAATATGCACCCTTGTGCACAATATGAGATAATTTGAACAAACTATGCCATTCCAAAATGCACCCTTGTGCAAAAAACACAAGAGAAACAAATAGAAAAACACAACTACATAAGCTTGAAAAAGTATTTGATGTGCTCCACATGTGCTATGATTGTGAATTATAAAATTGATGTGCTCCAAATTTGCAACAAATATTTGCTAGTTTCTTTATAAAAATATTGTTTTGGACACTCAAAAAATGAGTCTCTTACAAAAAACTCATATCTTAGAACACTTTTTTAATGATATTAACAATATTCAAAGTTTGTTATTTTTACTGAAAAGTAGGTCACACTTGGTGACACAATGCGAAGGTTTTTTATTTCTATATTTTTATAAATTTCTTAGGTCGTCAAATAGCAGACATAATTCAAAATCTTATTTTCAATCGATTACGACCAATTTAAATGGTCTTAACATCATCAAAGGGGACACTCTGTTCTGATTGGTCTAAAATCAGCTACGCGGATCATGCCTTAAGCACCGTCGGATGCGCCTGGTTCCAACTGCAGCCTACACCCCCTCGTCGCTCTCACCCCCTCCTGAATCACCTCGTATCCCTCTCATCCTCATCCACCCACAAAACCCTAGCCCCCTTCTCCCAGTCGCGTCCGCCGCCTTCTCCCTCCCAGATCCAATCCAAGTCAGAGCCCCCGGCCTCCATCTTCATTCCTACGTGCGTCGGCCACCTCCCTGCGGTGGAGCTCGACCCCGTCAGTCTCCCCCGAAATGAAACCCACCACCGCCGCCTTCGTCTCCCCAACCAACCACAACCCACCGGCGACCTCCTCCCACTCTCCCTCTCCCTCGCCGCCGGCGCCCCCTCGCCTCCCCTCTCGTCCTCTTGTCACCCTACTAGGCCCCAGATCAACTTGGCCTTCTCCTTCTCAGGCCACGACTAGATCCGCACCGGCGTTCCCGCATCGGCGCCATCATGGACCTTCCTCCTCCTTCTCCATGACCACGCTGCAGCAGAGGAGTCCTCCTCCTCCCACCGCCACTGCCACCGAGCCCTCCTCCTTCCACCTCCACATCCATGCATCTATCCCTTCCTCCCTCCTCATGCCCGAAACCCTAGCCCGCGGGCGGCCATGTCGACCGAGATCAGGATCCGCAGCATCCTCTTCTCCTCCAAGAGCAATAACAGCAACGTCCGCAAGGGTATGCCATGAATCCCTTCTCTTCTTCCGGCCTTCTTCATCTCCGCATCTAATTCGTGCGTGCGGTCGTCTATGTAGTCAGTTTGCTCCCTCCGATCTGCTCTGCTTGCGTGAAGGGGCCCGGCCAAGGAGAAGCTGCTGCTTTAGCTTCTTCCTCCCCCCGGTGTGTGTAGGTGGTAAGCCATCTCCATCTCCCTCCTCCTCTCTCACCCCATCTCGTCTCTGTAGGCAAGCAGTCTGCATGTTAGCAGGCACATGAGTCAATCAAAACACCTTTTTAATTGATATATATGTGTTTTGAGAGGAGAACCGTGTTAAGGAATATATCACCGTGTGTGATGTATATTTCCTTCCCAGCTAAATTCCGAGGTTGTATTCATTTCCTCGAAGAAATGTTTGATCCTTTTGTTGTAAATTTGTAGATTGATTTTAGTTGTCACAACATTTTCTGTTGCTTGCCTAAATGAAATCAGTAGTCGCTATTCAGATAACTGGATAATTAGACACTGTTGTGTGTAGTCTCTGTTGGAAATATATACCATGCTTGATAGAATGGAAAATGAATAATTAGGAAACATATATTTGCTAGGGATGAAATTGTAGTCCCAATCTCTGATTCGCTGCAAATTGCAGTCCTAATCTCTGCAATTGTTGATAAATGGATGAGATTCTAGTGTATCAGTACAATCATCTCTTAAGGTTGCTTACATTTTGGTTCAGAGCACGGACGCCATGTGATGTTCAGACCATAAATTGACTATTGTGTAACATTATGGTCGATGCCTTTTCTTTTTTAATCATCCCTGGTTCCATTATATCAGAATGAAACCAGAGTAGCACAAAGTCCAGCTAAATTAGTTACTATGAAGCATTATCGAATGTTGTTCTTCCCTGCTCTTACCGGCGTCCTTTTAATTCCATATGTGTTTTTGTAGTTGAAGGAGTTCATTCTGGGCAGCAGTAGGCGTATGAGTTCCAGGACATGCGCCGCCCATCATTGACCTCCAGGTCATCAAGAACGCCTACGACGGCAAGAGATACCTCCTCATGCAGGTACCAATACATCTTCATACACGCGCACGCATTGGTTAATCTGCAGATTGATTGATCAGAAATGGCACGGCGTTTTCTGTAGAGCACGTCCAAGATGGCGAGCAGGACGAGGTACTGCACAGGGAGGATCAAGTCTTTTGTTGTCCCCCTCGCCAACTACTCCCTCAACACCACTGCCTCTCTAGGTACACGTATACCAAGCAGAGTATGCAAGTACTTATACACCGTACCGCGTATGCAGCTTCTAGAGTAATTTCCTTGTTTCCACCTCTGCTTGCAGTGTCCCAAGTATACACGTTTATTCTAGTTATATGCTTGCAAGGTTAGATCATAGTCTCACAGTTTGTTTGCACAGTATGTTGTCATTTAGCTGCAGTTAATTAGCTTATGTACTAGGCGTTCTTGAAACCTTAGGCCATAAGCACCGAGTGACATGATGATGTATCCCTCCTACATCCTAGCTCTCTATGGAGTAGGGCTATTGTTCCACCATTGCGAGCTAACTTGATGTGTTCTGTTTTGGAGTATGTAATGTTACTCTCTTTTTGGCGAGTTGGGTGCTTTTCCAGTTCAACATAACATCTTTGGCTTGAGTTCTCTTTTCATTATTTGTATAATTGAAAATTGGAAATTCTTCCCTCTGCCATTTTGGACCCTGGTGATTCACTGGGAATTTTCCATGCCCGTTGGAATCTAACAAGTCCTCCTCCACATCTTAAACTAACAAGCATGGGTTATGAGTTTACCTATGAAGTTCTTTTTGTTTGTTGTCTGTTGTAAATTTCCTGGTTGTTTATTCCTGTTGGCTAAGTATATGGTATGACAATTTTTGTAGGTGAACATTCCAAAGACCAAGAAGACCTACTGCAAGAACAAGGAGTGCAAGAAGCACACACTCCACAAGGTTACCTAGTACAAGAAAGGCAAGGATAGCCTTTCTACTCAGGGGAAGCGTCATTATGACCGCAAGCAGTCTCGATATGGAGGTCATACAAAGCATGTTTTCCACAAGAAGGTATGTTACTCATTTCTGTGGGCATATATCTTATTTGATGTACACCTCAACTTACTGTGGAAATGTTGGTCGTTGCTCTTCTGTTGCCTCTTTGCATCTGGATGTTTATTCTTCTGTTTCTTTCAGGCCACATCTGGACTTATTTGATGTTCCTCCTCCACGGCGGCCCCGCGCCGTGCGTCCCTGCCGGTAGTCTGGGCGACGGTGGACGGGCCGTTGGGGATGCCGCTAGACTTCCTATGACTTGTTGCTAAGATTAACAATTACTCTGTAGACCCTGCTGTGATAATACGCATTTTATGGTCACACCTCAGTCCACGGTTATGTTTTTTGGGATGAAACGATACGTGTAATTCTAGTGATATTTGGAGTTTTTGTGATCCCTCTCCAAGTTGCAACCGGGGGCTGCTGTTAGAGGTTCATCCTTGGCTATTGGTCACGGTCAATTAGAGGAACTAGTACTAGTATTGCTGCGCATCATCAGAGGAACCAGTACTTGGGCTCTTATTGACCTTCAAGCCTTTCCTGGAAGTCCCAGAACAGTACAAGTATAACATACCAGTACCTGTTTAGGTAGTGCTATAGAGCGATGTGTGTGGTTCTGTGGCACTGGCATGCTGTATGTGAAGACTCAAGAGTCTTATTTTGTTGTACTTGTAGATGTAGCGGTGTTCTTGGCACTGTGACCTAAAGCAATTCGTCGGCCAATTGCAGTCTTGGCATGCTGTGTTGCTCTCCTAGTTGTTAACATATGTGTAGTAGTACGTAGGAATAGAGGTATGCTAAATCTGGCATTTTCAAGTATGATGTGTTGCTGTGACTGCTCTCAGTTTAATAATTTTAACTCTTCTAGCATTTTCAAGTATGCATAGTGTATTAGTGTATCCTCATCTGTGTTGTTTGATTTATATATGGTGCTGAAGGTCTTGCTCACCCTGTGTCTACCTACTACATGCAGATCAACCGGTCTCTGGCTCAGCAGGGCCAGCAAGGACCTGATGGAGAGGGGGCTCATCAGGATGGTGTCAATATTGTGGGAACTGTTCTAGTGCCTGATCTGTATCCCAATTCAGGCTCAAAATGCACCCCATTTACTTCACCTCTAGAATATCTCTTTCCAGTCTTTGTGGAATAATAACATATGAAATGTCATACCTGCTTAAATATTAGTTGCTACATGCTAGTAGGAGATAATTTTTCCAATTCTATCTTCTGCGATTAAAACAAATCCTCGACAGAATTGCAGCAAACAGATTTTTACTAGTTCTATCTTCTGTATCAAAACAAATCCACAACTGTTTCAAATGACAGTAGCAGCATGCTGATTTTTATCAATATTGTAGAAATTGCTCTGAAGTAGAAGTTGCTTAACGATGCAAGTTACTTTAAATTTGGGAAATTGCTTTGAAGTACAATATGTTAGAAGAAACTACCATGTCTCTGGAATGGATCATCAATCACTCTTTATACACTTGCAACTCAGTTTCTTTCATATAAGTTCTACTACCTTTCTTTAGGTTGAGCTACTGCCCTGTTAATTGCTTTAACAAACATTATCATTTGCCATATTGCATTAACAAACATTATCATTTTTTTTGTTTCACAAACACAAAATAGTTTGCTCCTTCTAGTTGTGGCATCCCCACTGTTAATATTTATGATGTTGTTCCTCACTAATATAATATTTACTGATTATTGGTAGTCACTAGTATTCATTGATAACTATGCCTCGTTTTGATTGTTCTATTGTTATTTATGCCAAAAGGTTAACATGTTTGAATTTATTTTGTTCCTGGCCATTTTATTTTATAACATGTAGATGGTGGCCTCTATTCATGTTTCGTCGTGAGCTTCAGGATGAAGAAGTTGGAAGAAGCAATGCATGCTGGATCTAGGCATGCATGCATGCTCTAGTATCCCTGTTTCTGAACCTAGCTAGGGAGGTGCAGGACTTTGTTGCAATGTTGATTTTTTTGGGAATTTTGTTGTATTGGTGATTTTGCTGAGAGTTTGGTGTATATTTGCTTGCCACTATGTTTACTTGATATTTATTTCTGGATTGGAAAATATATTGGCATTGAATCTGGGCTGAATGTATATCTATGATGTAAATATTATTTGACTTGAAGAGGCACAACCCAAATCAAGAAGTGGATGAAATGTCTATTGGACCAAGTTTATTTGGGCTTTGAAAAGGCCATGGCCCAAAATATATTAGTGGGAACAAAGGCTGAAAATAAAAAAAATTGATTGTAAAATGACCGTGGCCTAAAAAGGAAATGGCATGTGAAAGGCCATGACCCACAAAATAAAAAGGCTGAATTACTAGGCAAGCCCATGTAGCTAGCGAAAATTAACAGAAAAAATATTTAAAAAAAGGCTGAATTGTTGGGCCTGGCCCATGTAAAACACCCAATTGGACCGGGCCAATTCTAATTTTTGACCTTTTCAATTGGTCACAAATTTGCCACGTCAGATTGCCACGTTGGATTTGACGTGGCCTGGGCAGACAATCAGTGACCAAAACAAAAGGTCATGGGTTCAACGACCTTCTGTTTTGGTCGTAAACGTCTACGACCTTCTCACACAGAAGGTCGTTAATTTCAGTTTACGACTGCTAGCTTTTGACCTTCTATTTTTGGTCACAAAAAGGTGGCAAATGAAAAACAATGACCTTTTAGTGACCAATAGTCAAGGTCACAAGTTGACATATTTCTTGTAGTGACAGCCCAGGAAGTCAAAGACTGGTGCGCTAATATGGGCATCAAGCTCAACAACACTTTGGTGTATCACCCGCAAACCAATGGACAAGTCGAACGGGCCAATGGACTAATCATGAGTAGCATAAAGCCTCGTCTGGTCCGTTCCTTGAAGCAATCTTATTGTCACTAGGTGGAGGAGCTCGACTCCGTACTATGGGGACTGCGCACTACTTCCAACCGATCAATGGGGTACACACCTTTTTTCATGGTGTACGGCGCAGAAGCAGTCCTCCCATGTGACATCATTCATGACAAGCCTAGAGTGCGCATGTATGAAGAAAAGGAAGCCAAGTTGGATTAGCAGGATGACCTGGATGCCTTGGAAAAAGAGTGTGACGTAGCTCGGGCTCGCTCTACATTTTATCAACAGAAGGCCTGGCGCTACCATAGTAGGGAAGTTCGGGCGAAGGCATACAACATAGGCGAACTCGTCCTCCGTCTCCCTAAGAAGTAGAAGAACAAGCTCTTGCCAAAATGGGAGGGCCCTTTCATAATCGATGAAGTGCTAGCTGACAACCGCCTCGAATCAAACCCCTGGAATGCAGCTTGGCTTCAACGCTTGTACGGCTAGTCTGGCCACGTCAATTACACTAGCCTTTTCTTTAGTGTAATATTTAATTTTTAATTTTTGGGAGTTAGCACCTCCCGGGATATGTATGGATAAACTGAACTGCGTTAGGCCCTTTTAGCATACATTTTCAAATGTACTTCCCAGATCTACCTGGGGGCTCCTTTAAAGCAACCAATCAATATACTTTTCGTGCACATAATCATCTTTGTCGTGTTTGCACTTTCCTGAACAATTTTAAGCCATCATATGCATTGATTGGACTTAAGTTTTTGCCAAGCTGGTTTGCCTGGCTCCTGTGTTTACCCCCTACTTTCCTGATTGTTCTTCTAGGGGGTAAAGGGAGAACCTTTGTGATTGCTATGATTGGTTCAGTTGCGTACGTGCCTCACATGGGTGAAGCCAAAAACTAGCGTTCTCAATAAAATAATGGGTCAGACACAAGGGAAATGACAATAATTGGGCGTTCGCCACCAAGACTTGGGGATTCGTTCCCCAAACTAATTATTATTCGCATGCTCTTGGTATCCGAATACAACGTCTATGTTTTACATGACGAACCTGAAGAAAGGAATCCATGGAGGAACTATTTTTCGAAAGATGTTTCTTACATTAAACAATAATATAACATAACTCTCTGCGTGCATTTTTTGTCTGCTCGTACCAAATGGACGGATTGCCTAGTTACCGAAAGTGATTTCCTGTTACCTCAGGTCACATAGTACGAAATGTTCCCCGACCACTAGCCAGGGAGGCGGAAGCCGATGGCCGGTTAAGACATCGTTTACAGTATGGATCGAGAATATTTGGTGTAAAGTACCTAGATACATAGAATCAAACACCTTGATCTTTGTCAATATTGTGTATTAACCTATCTAGGGCACAGTCCTGTTGGGAGTATCGAGCCGCAGACATCACTTGGTCATACACCAAATGAAGAGGTATTGCTTGACCATCCGGCCCTGCTGGTCCAACAAGGGCCATCCGCTCTGGCTTAAGTTTGGTAAAACGGGTCTTCACCATAGCCCATGCCTCTCGCGACCCCTCCCGATAGGCCAATATCTTCCATAACTTGAAGTGTCGCCGAGCTCCTTTAAAACGAGTAGCCAGTTCGATCATATCGTCTGGAGGCATCTTGGTTGGCCACAATGCCTTGACCATGTTCTTCATAGATTTTCGAGCTTTCTCATGGATGACAGACAACTCCTTTAAAAGATTTCCTCCAAAGGAGCTGACCTCTTATCTGCGCCGCCCGGTCAGGAGACCTAGCACAAAGCATGGCATGACCTTTGCACTCAGGCACTACAAATGTCTATGTACATATAAAAGCTGAAATATCACTTACTGAACATGCCACTTTTCAATCTATGGTTCTCCCCAAGGGCCTGTGCCAAGTGAGTATTCAAACTCTCAAGTTCTTTGGCCTACTGTTGGTTTTCTGCCTTTAGCTTGTTGTTCTCCTGTGGCTTTGTCTCAGCACCCGAAGACCGGCTTCATGCTACGACTTGGCGTACCATTGAGACTCTTTGGTGGCATCCAGGTCCTTTTGTAGTTGACGAATGGATTGAGCTGCTATAAAGAATATCGGTTTTGCATCAGCCAACTGCGTTCGGTTCAATTCAAGGTCCTCGGAAAATTTCTTGTTCTGGTCCCTTGAAACCTGCAAAAAACCACGAGTTCATATAGGCACAGACCCTTAACTCCGCCGTCCCGCCCGAATCAAGGCTCGGGGGCTACTGGGTTAGGATTTATATTTGGTTATCAAAACCTATTTCGTACCTACATGTTGATAGAGAGAAGATTGGCAATCCCCTCAAGGCCTATCCGAGCTACTCTGAGGTATGTGTCTACCGAATTAAAAGCGTTGAATTCCTAATCGGAAAAAGCTGCATGACGCAGGGATTCCTTCCGTCACCGATGATTCATCACACATTCAACTTCAGAATTGGTGTCCGAAACATCCTCAGGATCTTCTAAAGTCTGGTCTGCAGGGGAACACCCCACGTCGACCCCTGCCCATGCTATGGATCTTCGACTGTGCCGTGACGCCTCCTTGATGTCTTCGAATGGTGGGGGCGGTCGCTTTCTCCTACAGTCCCTGTTGAATGTCACTAGAGCCTGCAACAGCGATGTTAATAATTATCTGATTGCAATCTCGGTTACTATACCTTTTTGCCAAAGGTGTGGTCAATGTAGCCCCCACGGCTGCCTCGCGCTTGGAAGCTCCACTGCTTGCTGTTGTCGACACCATCCTCGTTGGTGTTCGGTGTGAGGTGCGGCGGCCCTTGGGAGTAGAAGTCAGCATACCCGGAGTGGCACGAGGCAAACGCCATGTTCAAGAAGAGGCCTTCTTGCTACTTATGACGGAAGAAGGGAGGGGCCTAGGGTGATCGACTGTAACGGCCACCTTGGAACCATCGAGGCTTTCCCGAAAGAAAAACCTGTCCTCAAAATCAATGGACGTATCTGGGTCCTCATGAAATCCTGGGTCATTTCCATAGGAATGGTCTTCTCGTTGGGTAGACGGGTAGCTGATGGTCTTGACCTGGCACCTCCAATTCTGTTCGAAAAAACAATAGGACCGATCAGTATATGGATCTAATATCTAGGTTGTGAAACAAAAATGAACCCACCCATTCAACGGGATTGTAGCTCGAGTAGCCGTTCCTTGGACGAGCAAACTCTTCTTCCTCTCCTTTGAATAGATCAACTAAAATGCTGGCCATCGCTGCTTGGTTATCTGGCCCCTGCCGCTTGTAATGGGTCGCGTCGCTTGTCCTATTGCTGCACCACAGGGGGTGCATC